TTGAGCTCCATTCGCATAACCATTGATATAGGCTAACTTTCTCGTGATTGGCCAATTTTTGTCAATTGAATTTATACGCATTATCCGGAGTCTGGTTTTCTCTTGGCGTCAACCTATATAGTATAGAATTTCCTATATAGTATAGAATATGTAAACTTCCGCAATGCGCATGTGCATATTTGTTTATCACAATATGTCTAAATGCATACGGTCGGGAAAGAAACTTTATGCATTTATACAGTATTAACCAATCAGATATCAGAAAATTAACTGTCTAAATGCATATTACCATTAATTGTTTTTTAAAAATTATGCATTTAGACAGTATTGACTGTATAAGGAAATTTAAATACGTAATCTTTATCTTATTATATAGGATGCTGCGTATAATAAGACAGGATGATAAGAAAATTAAGTATAAAAGAAATGCATCTTGAATGTATTGAAAAAAATAAATTTTTTTGAATTGAAAACTAAAATGAAAGGCAAAAGAACAAAATCAAGGCTTTCCATCAGAAAATTCACGAATATCGATAGTGTACTCTACCCAAACCCCTTCTTATTCAACCATTTCAATCAAAACCCTATATTCATCCAAGACCCTATATTCATCCAAAATCTTGTATTCTGCCCAAATTCTGCAAATCCCGTATTCAGTCCAGAGCCACGTATTCAGTCCAAACCACGTATTCGGCCCAAATCACGTATTCAATCCAAACCCTTTTGTAGTAATCAAAAAAGTACAAAAGAGATTGGTAATGTTTTTGAACGTCGAATTGAAAAATTATTAAACAAACATGAAATTAAAGCACATATTTTTCCTTGCCGACGAGGAGATGATGGAATTGATATTATTGCTACATTTAATAGACGAATTATTCTTATTCAATGTAAAAATGTTGCTAAATCCTTAGATGTTAATATTTTAAAAAATTTTCAAGCCTCGGTTGGCCGGTTTGGAAAGGCGGTATTAAGTGTTGTGGTTTATAATGGTAAAAAATTGAAAAATAACCCTTTAACTACAAATGCCGAGATATGGTGGAAAGGGTCATGTTCTAACATTTGTATTGAAACTGAGAAAACAATTGTTGATTGTATTAAAAATAAGATATCACAGAAAAAATTCAAACAAACCGAAGAGTCGGAAGAATTAGAAAAATCAAAGATGGAATTAGAAGAATCATCAGAATTAGAGTCAGGATTAGATAATGAATTAGATGATGAATTATCGGAATCAGAGTCAGAACAATATTTTGAAGAAACATTTTCAGTTAAACAAACAAGTTACAAGAATGGTCAAGATATTAAACGGCATATTGAAAATTTATTAAATCAAAATGGAATTCAAGCTAACCTTTTTCCTCAACGACGTGGAGATAATGGAATTGATATCATTGCCACATTTAATAGAAAAATCATTCTTATTAAATGTATAAATGTTAGTGGTCCTATTCGTGACAACATTTTAAGAGATTTTCAAGCCTCAGTTTACCGGTTTGGAGAAGGAATATTAAATGTTATTGTTTATAATAATGAAGAATTGAATAATTCTTTAATTAAAAATGAAGGATCATCTCTTGAAATTGTTAATGAGAAAATGATTGTCCAATATATTAAAAACAAGTTATCAAAGAAACATTCAAAGATAACTTCACAAACGACGATTGATTACGATGAAATACTTTACAAGGATATATTGAATAATAAATTTTTTAAAAA